ATCAACATTTTGCTAGGATTCATGAGGGTGTCCAGGGGGTTTAAGACAGACAGGTTTTTCATATACACATTCAAAACCCCTGGAGGAGTGGCATGTAATGGCAGAAACTGATTAGGAGGGCTGGTCAGGTTAGGGCTGTGCATTCATTCTCATTAACTTCAAGAGGATGAAAACCAGTTTAACTGATATATCTTACTAGATGCTACAACACTGATGCATAATACAAGAAGGCAATGCAGGATTACTGCTGTTACTGCTTTAAGAAAATTAAACAAGGCTACAGATATCTGACACACAAGACTGGAAGTAATGAACTTTTGAGTAAATCTTGCATTTTTATTGAATATTGACAGTCAGCTTTATATTAACTTCATAAAATGTGAGAAAATATAAATCAGCAACTGGTCGAAGATTTTTATATTTAAAACACATTGAATAGTATTCACTTAAATCAAAATGCTGAGTGGTGCAGGCATGTCATTCCTGTCTTCTTGTTGCTCTTTTTAGGCTGATAAAAGCAAAATCTGTGGTAGTAGTCTCACAATTATGTGTCTAATGAATGCTAATACAATTTCTAATTACCTTTCTGATTTCGTGTAACACAATATAATGAAAACAGTTTAAATATTGTGTATCTTTCATATCAATACATACATGCAGAGGTACATTTTTTCTCAGATGGTAAAACCATACACAAGCTGTCTAAATAGATTACAAACAGTGGTAATGCTTAGCAAAATTATCATCTTGATTCTACATGATTTGAGAGCTGTCAGCTGTGGCAAATAATTAAAGAGGTATCAGTTGCTTCTTTATTGTCCTTAAGGAGATGAGCTTTTCAAAATTGCTTTGTGTTAAAAGGTTAAGAAATGCAGTTCTGATTAAAATTTTTTTAGAACACTTGAACTCCCCACTCAGAATTGCAACTTTATTTAAACATTTTGTAGTAATTTGTTGCAACCAAATAGTTGCATTTATTTGCATTATTATTTAGAGAACTGTATGCCTTTCTTCAACTTTTCTACTATTTGATTATATTTAAGATGACTTGAAGGCAATATTTACTTTCTGGTAACATTTCAGGAGAAAACTTGCAATTTTGTAAGGGTGGGTGAAAAATCAATTATAAATGATGTTTCCATAACATGCCTGAAGTGTGGAAGGTAAGTTGGGGCAAAAGGTTATTTTCTTTGAATTAAGCAGTCATATGTAATATGTACTAAAAGTGCTCTATTTCATGATAGACAACAGTTTTGAAATAGAGTCAGTATGTTCTGTAAACATTTCACTCTTTTTCCCAAAAAATCTGAGTGGTCAATTGAATTCAGGATCAAGACATTGGGTTGTATTTTCTAAAACAGTATCTGAAAATGTCATTTATCTGTCACAAAAAATGTGTCACAAAAAAAAATCATGTCTTATTATTCCAAAACAGTAAAAGAGCACAAAGTCTAACTCTACAGAAAATGGAGTCTGCACACTTACTGGAATAGAAAACAGGCAATAAAAGAATTCCTATTAAATAAAGGTCAAACATAAATTAATCCTTTGTAAACCTTTTTTTGAACATGATTTTATATCAATATGTGAGAAAATTCTTCCTTATATTTCTCAGATACAAGGCAAAGAAGAATAAGCATCCACGCTGTGAGCTTTTATATAACCTTGAATTAATCTTTTTAAAATACGTAACTATTTCAGTGACTGAAATCTGGGGGCAAGAGGGAAAGTAATATTGCTCCTATTCAGTGATCAGTTGCCAAAACAATGGTACTGTCTGGGAGCTGATACTGTTTATAGTTTTCAGACATTTAATATTTTAAAAGACATAGCAGACATGTAAAACTTAGTAAATGAAGTAATTAAATAATGGTTTTAATACCATATATGCAGATAAGTTCCCATGAACTTAATTTATACAAAATAACTTCAAAACACAAAGTGACTGAATTTTCTAGATAAAGTAGCTATCAGAAAATTTTGTTAGTTGCCTTTTTAATATTGTCAGTCTTGCCAATGTTTCTCATTCAATAAGTTTTCAGATCCAGGTAACATTCTTAGATAAAATGTGTTGGCAAGTTTCATGAAATCTCATTTGAATGGTATTTCAGAAAGTTGGCATCGAGTGCATGTGTCTTCTTACCTCTTGACTATTGATTGTAATCCTGTTTCTACTGATATTACCTAAAAATTTATACCCTCTTATAAGTGTTTGCAAATCTTTGCAAAGGTTTTGGTGGATTAATGCATCTTGAAAAGGAGTCACTCTGTTTTGGCACTTGTGTTAGATGTTTTGGCAAAGAAAGGGACACAATCTTGAAAATTTTGAAGTGCTAATGTACCATATCTAAATTTAGATGGTTTCTGTTTCTCAGAATATTTCACTTAGATCTTTGTTCCAGAGGTGAGAGCCAAGTAATGTCTGGAGGTGGTGTAAGGCTGAGAGTTGCAGCATTTACTTCTTAGTGGATTCCCTGTGAAATTCCAGAGCTATGTACTAGGTTCCCCACATAGTGAAAATGCCAAGATCTGCAAGCATTAGCAATTTAGCCTCTAATCCATTAGGGAATATTAAATTAAATTGTACCCTTTGGAAAGATTTGGGGGTTAATTTAAGATTTGTAATCATAACTGCAGTTCTGATGTTAAGTAAAAGCACTTACTAAAAGAAAAAAGAGAAGGTCTAAGAAGGTCTAAGTGAGTGTTTTCCTTCAAAGTACAGCTGGATAAGAAGTAGGTACAGCTTCCTGCTTTCAACACAGTGTTAAGCAAAGATACCTTATGCATGAATATCTGACATATTACATCTCAGACCATTCAATTAGAAATTTTAGCCATCTCATTCAAAAAGCTATAAATTCTGTCTTGAATGTCAACCCAGTCACTGGGACATCTTTAAAGGCTATTGTTAATGTGTGTCCATTGAAGAAGTCACTCCAGCTAGAAATGCCTGCCAGAAATTATAATTTTTTAATGGAAATTTGGCCTCTGAAGGTCTTGCGCTTGACTATCCTCTCTTTTGTACTAAAATCTTAAACATTTCCTAGTTGTAGATGTCATTTCTTTATTTCAGACTTAAAGGAATGTTTGAAATGAAGGGTATCACAGCCAAAGATTACCTTTTCCTTCCACCTGCCAATTCCTTTATTCATGGAAAGGATAAGGGAAAAAGGTGTTTGTTCAGGATTTGGGGGATTCAGATTCAGTTCTAACCTGTGACTGGGACAGCTCATGTTTGCACTCTTCTATTTACAGAATTTTACATTAAAATGTTGAATTCATCACTGAAGCAGTAACTACCACTGAAGCCTTTCCTTGTGTTCTCTAATCTGTAATGTACAGAAAAAGCCCATGTTCTCTTCTCTCTCCCTTTCTCCTGCTCTACCTGCTTACCAGTTCTGTACCAAGTGGAACAGCATCAGTAGGTGGAAATCCAAGTGTTTTTACCTTGAAATGGCCTAATGCTTTTATGTTGCAGCCATTTGATGAGCATTGAAGCTTAAAGCTCCTTCAGCAGAATACACTATTGAAAGACACACATGGAAAACTTGAGTGTGAATTCTCTGAATTCTGACTGGATCCAAGATTAAGCCAAGCACCAATGTGCTTAGCAGAATTTCTACTTACTACCACCAAATGACATATCTATAAAATTTAATGTGGAAAACTGAGTGCCTTACTGCTCAAAGTGCCTTCAGCCCTGGAAGGTTTATGAAAACCTGAATGCAGGTTTTGATAAACAGTTTCAATTTAGGTTCCCAAAGAACTAGGCAGGGTGAGGTACTTAAATATTTCTGGATCTCATCTCCAAACTTGAGGTTTGTGTTAATAATGGTGATGTAACAGTTTACAAATAAAGCAGAGTTCTTGATTTAGGAAATAAATCAGGCAATTATATATCAACTGATGATCTATTGCTAATCACACAAAATCTAACATTTATCAAGAAATATTTTCAGTAATCTAGGTTCTATGATCATCTCCTTCTCCTCATTAGTTACTAAGAAAGCAAAACGCAAAAGGCTACATTATACCTCAAATTTGCTTTGTGTGAGAGCAATTGTCAGTCTTGGTCTCTGGGATGTGTTATTCAGTTAATAAATTTCTGCATTAGATAGAAAATGTTGAAGTATATGATAAAAATTGTTAATTCACATATCCCAAAACTGAGACTCTTCTTCCTTACTTCCATATTTCATCCATACTCCAATTCTCACACTGAGGAGAAGCTAGCTTGCTCAGCACCCTATTAGCAGTTGAGAATTAAGTCAGATTGAAGGACTAAGGGAGATTTTATTTTACTTTTCAAATTTACTTCACTGAAAAATGAAAAAAATGCTTCTGAGGACCTAGATTTCAGTGAAAACATGTTAAACTTTTTCCAATAATATGCATAAAAAGAGATGAACTTGTTTTCAAATATACACTCCTCAAATGATATTCAATAGCGAAAGAAGTGTTTCAATACAGGAGATGTTAAAAATAATGGACTTGATGATAGTTTTCAGCAATTTGGACTGCATTTTAACCATATTTAAGCATTAATTTAGGTAAACTTCCTATACTAAGGCTTGTTGTTTTGTTGAGAAATAGCTATTTAAATCATATAGAAATTAAGTTATTACTTTTAAATATGAGAAAGAAGATCTTACAGAATACCTAATATATAGTGCATTCAGATTCTATCCTCTAAGTCTAAGCTATGTTAACAGTTTGTTTGATTTTTTTTAATGTATCATATGCATCTATAGTCAGTAGCTGACAGACAAATAATTGGAGGTGATTTTTTCACTGAGTCATCACAGCTTGATAAGTCATTTCCATTATTATGCAATGAATATTTAAAAGACAGAAATTTGCTATGAGCTCCAGACTGAGACAAAGGAAACCTATAGGACTGACAAGGCTATGCCAGTAAAGTGAATCTGCTTCTAGACATTATTGCTAGACATTTCTCACTGATTTTTTTTTTTTTTTTCTTCCTCTATTTCCCTCTGTAGAGGTCCTTCTGTAGTGCCATGATAGAGGAGCTAAGGATGTCTCTGAAGTGTCAGCGTCGATTAAAACACAAGCCACAGGCCCCAGTTATTGTGAAAACAGAAGAAGTTATCAACATGCACACATTTAATGACAGAAGATTGCCGGGTAAAGAAACCATGGCATAGAGCTGGGAAGCCAAATCCCCCAAGCACAAACTGTCATCTTTTTTCAAAACAACCTTGCAAGAATGTTTCCTGTGGAAATATGCAACCTGTGCAAAATAAATGAGTTACCTCATGCCGCTGTGTCTATGAACTAGAGACTCTGTGATTTCAGCAGTTGCAATGGCCAGACTCGAATCACAAGCATCATGGATCAATCAAGTTATGCGGGGTTACACTGTTCGTCATGGGTTTCCACCATTCTGAATGAATGAATGTTCCATGTGAGTTTTGTGGCTGGTTTCAAATGCAGTCTCAGTGAGAAATTACAGGTTCCTTTTGAAGTTCAACGGTTGCCAGGAGATGGAAAATAAATGTCCAAGATGATACTAACCATGGAAGGAGTTTAGTAAGCATAATATCTCAGAACTGTAATGGAACAAGAAACCATATGTTCTTCTGAACTTCCAAGCATAGAAGAGTTGGTGACTGCTGGTAGACTGAAACTACCATCTGGACAGGCAATATGAGCTTCCTGGATGGGAGAAATGTTAAAGCGAAGAAAATGAATCCCATGATTAGAAGGATAGATATGAGGTGCTCACCTACTTTTTGGACTGTCTGTGTCACTGAATTAAGTAAATAAATAATAATTAAAAAAATAAATCAGTAACTTAAATTTACCTGGGCTGGAACTTTAATCTAAAAAAAAACCAAAACAAAAAAAAACCACCCAAATAAAAAAAAAAAACAACAAATGAAGAAAAATTCCATAATTTTGATCCAAGTTTTAGATGAATGAAAATTTCCTTGGTACAAAGGAATGTATTTTACAACCTTTAGATATAAATGATTGCTTTTTTTTCTTTAATTGTGAAAAGAGGGAGGGGGTGGGAATCACTGTATTTCACACGTAGAGGGCTTGCATTTTAGCTTGAATGGGTTTTGAAACCCTTGTTCCTGCTTCTAATTGAACTCAATGGAGCCTGAAGAATTCTCACTAATATTGGAAGTAGTGAGTCACCTAAAAGAAGTGAATGGGGAGAACTTTAAAGAGGACTGCATTTTTCAATACAGTCACAGTACTAAATGAACAAAATTCTTGAGCAGGTTTTTTTTTTTCGAAAAAAAAAAAATGTTCAGGTTTCTGTGGAAATGCAAGATTTCTATGAAAATAGTTTTTGTATGGAAATTTTTGTAATACTTTTTATCAACAAAATAAGAACATGTGTTTCTGTCAGGGGTGTGATGCCAAGCATGAATGGTAGTGCGTGTGCACCACCAACGTTTGGTGAAAACTATTTTTATCAAGAAAAAGGAATCTTAGAAGAGACATATTTTCAAGTTAGATAATATAAAAAATAGGTGCACTACCAACACTGCTTACCATGCTACACCCCTGTTTTCCACTAGGCTGATAACATGCTGTCATGAACAATTGTATGTAAAAGGTAAAAGACACAGACCTCTTGACCAGATTGTGATAACAGTTAAAGTGCACTCAGTTTGCTGTTTGAAACCAATGCACAAAATTAAAAAAAAAAAAAAGCATTAAAATTCTGTCAGTTTTAGTTGTTTTGTTTTTGCTGTGTGATTTGAGCAACGTATGTACAATACTTTGTGTGAGTACTGGTACTTAGCCTCAGCTTAGGGCCCTGTTCTGCTGATTCTTGCCGTGAAAGGCATGGCCAGAGAGTTTTCTGGGATTCCTGAGGAAAGCCAGTACAACACATTGCGATAAGTTTTTGCAGGATCGAGCCATTAGTTGCTTCAAAGCTAATTCATGTGTCCTGCCTGTGACATATAAAGCTCCTGGACATAACATTTTTAAATAATGCCTTACAGATGCTGAATCTTGCACCTCCATCTGCTGTAAATTTATTTGTATATCAACAAAAAATATATAGAATGGACTATGAAGGAATGATATGTCAGCCAAACATATTGTGAAGATTGTCTTTATACAGAAAATAATTAGTTCAACTAACTTAAACTAAAATTATCACAGATAATTAGTCATTGGTGAGTAATGAGGTCATTTCTTTACTAGGATTTAATTTAATCTCACTGCTTTTTTAGCACAAGAATATAAAATATATCATTCCAATTATAGAAATTAAATTTGGGGAAAAGGGGAGGTTTGTGTCTACTACCCAGTTCTCATAGATCTTCATAGAGACTGAGCTGGCCATTTCTGTTGTGAACAGGGACTGAGAAAGCAAATTCTCTTGCATTCATGAGAGCTTCATCCCCATTTATGTGATAACAAGGAAGAGGTTATCTTTGTCTATAAAGTATAAATAAGATAAAAACATCTTCAGCAAAGATTCTGAAAATGAATATACTTACATAACAAATCTTTAAGTTAATTCTTTAAAATACAAAGGGCGAGAAAGTAACTGTCGTACAACAGAATGAAAATTCCTAATTATGGTGGTTTGGAATGGACAAAAAATTAGCTATTGCATTTGAGTGATGATTTACAATAACATTTGTAAAATCGTGTAATAAAATGCTGTGCTATATTCAAACAAACCTTTCTTTTCTCCATTAAGGGTGTTGAAATAAGCAGGATTCCATTCTCACCTTGATGCACATAACTAATTCTCATTAAGCTTTATGTGAGCCAAAGTAAGTGTGAATGAAGAATATGTCCCAGATGTTTTACTGGATCAATGTCCCCCAGGGAACAAAAAACCAAAACCAAAAGTAATGTGGCTTAATTAAGATTTCAGTGAAAATTTCAGCTTCTATTATTAAGGAAATACGGAAAGTAACTGAAGATTTGTATTTTAGATCAAGACTAGAAATGCCTGGCTCCACAGATTCACAGTAGCATAATGTCTTTTAAAAAAAAGAATCAGACACTAATTCATAATGTTACTTTGTTGTGCATTAGTAATTATTTCTCCCTGTTTCACAGAAAAATAAGATACTTGAGGAAAAATTACTAACAAAAAGTTGACCCCCAAAGCAGAAATACTACTGGTAGTTTTGTACTCAAAACCAAAAATGTAATGATTCCTTCTCCTTTCACTGTTGTGAAGGAAATCCTTAATTCTGAAGAAAGCTTCCTCATTTTGATAGGCCTCTGAATGGCTAGTTCCAAATTCCAAAATTCTTGTATAGCATAGATTTCAACAATGTCATTAAAATCACTGGAACTACACCAGATAATATCAAGTGAGTATCTATCTGGCCCATGAAGATTCAGAATCTGTACATAACTGCTTATGTGGCTTCAAATAATAGCTCAGTCTGTTGATTTCCCAGGACACGATGATAGGTGCTTCTCTTTCTGACCTCGAATGTCACTCTAGAGATGACTTTTAAAGCAGTTATAACTCAGTTATGTATGGTGCTACCTGGTGGACGACAACTGAGGTAAAAACTCAACAGGACTTTTTCTTTTTTTTTTTTACTGTATCTGTTTTGTGGAAGACAGATGTTTATAATCTTAAAAATTCTCAAGACACACAATTTCAATCTTCAAGTTGCCTCAGCATGGTTATACAGCAATAAATAACTATGTGGATAATACAGAATAAATGACAAAACCTCCTTTAGCTTATCTATAAATAAGAAAATGTGAAAGGACTGGTAGTAAAAAATTCTAAGCCAGATAGTTGGATGAAATCAAGAGATGTGTGGAGCTTTATAGTAAATGAGGATTTGTCTGGTTATACACATTAGCAAGCCATTTCATAATATTCCTCTTACATAAAAACAAATACAAGCATATCAAGGGAGTATCTGGCAGGTTATTAAGGAGATACTACTTCATGAAGTTTCTGTCTCAATTTTCAGTTCAAGAATTCAGTATAGGTTTTGAAACACCTTTTCTTTCATGTTTATATTACATGCATTAATCCTTCCTGATTTCATCCATAAAGTCTTCCAAACCCCCCAAATAACAGAATGCAAAACACACAACGTATGAAGAAAACAAACCCACCAAAATCCAAAATCTAAAAGAGAATTAGGAGAAATACCCTGACATTCTACAAAATCAAAATGTTTTCATGGAAAAGGAATCATGAGCAGAGTTAACAGCATACAAAAAATTAAAATATAATGTGATAGTCATTTTTGTTTTATTATATTAAGGATATTAGAAAAATATTTAAAGTATTTTAGACACAACTTCACTTAGTCTCCAAATACGTTAGAGTTTCCAAATATGTATGATGGCTGAAATGCTGACTACTTTGAAAGGAGTTTCAAAACTACTTCAGAGGAATCAAGGTTTTGTCCTCAAATGTGTACTGATACAATATTAAAGGCAAAATGAGAATCCAACCCGCATTAAGGTGTACAGGAGCAATTGTGGTTTTTGTCATTTTTTCAGAGGTAGGATAAAAGGGTTGCTGAGGTTGACTTGTCTGACATCCAAGATTGTTTTTTTCCAATCTCAAATATGCTAGTGTCCTGTTCCCTTCCAGTCTTGCCTCTCTGCCTTTGTACAAGCACCTCTGACACTATCAAATTTATTTTCAAAACCCTTCTCTTCTGGCTTTCCTATAAAATATAGTTCTAATTAAAACTAAAGTTACTCAAGCACCTCACCTCCCCAGTTTGTATCCACAAAGATAAACACACTATCTTTTTATGTGACTGTAATTGTCCTTTTCATTTACTACCCCTCTCTGTCCCCTGCCTGTGTTATCTTCTCCTGTTGTTCTTGTACTTGCCTAGACTGTAAGCTCTTAGGGGGCAGGGAACCCGTCTTTGATTTGCTCTATGTAGCACCATGAACTATGGAGCTATATAAATAATAAAAAAGTAGATCTTCTTAAATGATTTTTGAAGTGATAGTTATCTGATTGACTGCCAGTGTAGTAATACCTTGTTTTAACTCATTGCCTGAAATCCTAATCACTACAGCAAATAATAATAAAAAGAATTAAAAATAATAAAATCAACCCAAAGGAACTATCACACTGGCTCATCTTACTGGAAATGTCTCTACATAGTTGGGGTTTAGGAATATAGAGCATCATGTTTGTATTGCTTCTATTAAGGTTTTAATCTGAAATCAGCTACATTAAAAATTGGAAAAGTAGGTTTACACAAAAAGAAGGGCTATATACAGGATGAGCTTCGTGAAAGAAAGCTTTAAATTGGTTTAGGCTTGGTAAAGCTATAATTAAACAATTTCTTAAGTTGGACACTATACACCTTGCATTCCTTCATTGAATCTGCTCACTTAGATCAGCAAGAATCTCATTATCAAAATTGATGTTAATTCTATCAGCCTGGGCTAGTGCATGGAGTTATTCTTCCTCAGGTACAGTCTTGTCATATCCCTTTGTTCAGCTTCATGAAGCTCTCGGTGGCCCATCTCTCCAGCCTGTTGAGGTCCATCTGAATGGCAGCACAAACTTCTGCTTTATCAAACCCTCCTCCTTTGAGTAACGCACACACTGGCTGAGAATGCAGTCTGTTCCACCATAGAGGTAATTGATGGAGATGTTAAACTGTATGAGACACGGTATGGATCCCTTTTGATACATCACTGGTTACTGGCCTGAGGCTGGACTTTCTGCCATTGATCACAACCCTTTGATCATGACAGCTGAGCCAGTTTTCAATCTAATATATTATATTAGGACTATCTTTTATATTATATAATTATATTATATTATATTATATTATATTATATTATATTATATAATTATATTAT